TAAATTATATATAATATATATGTCATAGTTCACACTATATATATATATATATATATATATATATAATATTATATTTATTATATTATATATATATATATATATATATACCCTATATCATATATTTAATCATAGATATACCGTATAGTTACTACCACTACGTACTATACTCGAGCCGGGCGGGATATAGGGTAGAGGACGGTGTAGCAGAAACAGAAATAAACGGTCTGCTGGTTTAGTGTGACACGCCTCTCACTCCCGCGGCCTCAGGCGTATTTTTCGTAGCTCTTCGCAAATCTCAGTACTTGTAAAAACGCTAACACTGGTAGCGTGTACATAGAGCTGAGTCAGCGCTCACAAGACAATTAAAATCGAGCCTAAAACCCACGCACAATGCGCTGGCAGCTAACATTTTAAGTTTTCACAAGTGGGGCTGACCCCGGCTAAAAACTGTCTTCAATATGTTTCAATACAATAGCCAGTCACACTGTTAAAGGATCGAAACGGAAAAAGTGTCTATTGAACCTGAATGTCTCAGAACAACCAGCAAGGGTAGACTGAACATTCTGCATTATTTCAAGCACAAGTATTGAATCAACAGTCTGTGAGGGAATTAAAATAATAATCTAATACTTCTAATTACAAAAACAAAATTATCGGAGACTCATTGACAGATGGCATTGGTGGATGAAGCGTTACTTACAAAATAACTTGCTACAACTCCCTCCTAAAATTCTCAATTTTATTCCAATCCTGGTCCGTCGCCTGAAATCTGCCGTGTCTCCTCATCCCGAGAATAGTCCTGGTCAGTAATACCAATACACCAGCTGAAATACCTGAAAATTGATCTAAGTCAATTGTGGCAATAAAATGATACCTTCGTCGAGTCAGTGTTTTACTATTATATATTTTGTTTGTTTTGTTGTTTGCTGTATTTTTGGCCTTGCTGCCCTAGACTTTGGCCCCAATGCCCCAACAGATTTTAATTTATCAAAAGGCCAAAGTGGCCCTAAAATGACTAAAAGATTATGCTTGTTCAAGAGACAGTGAACCAGAGCAGGGGAACTGCTAACCTGATGAAGCAGTATGCACAAATTTGGGCACCTTTTGAATCAGAGTAGGCTCAATCAACTCTGAGTACATTCACTCCAAGTTCCACTTGTGCGTGGTCATGCGTGGTTTATTCAGTGTTTAATTCGTTCACTTGACTTACATTTCCCTGTTGGATGACAGTGGTGGAATCTGACAGTATATTATGCTGTGGTTTTATTTCAGCTGCTTCAACAAATGTTGTGAATTTAAACAGTCACCAAAATGTTTAAAACACGTTCAGACCAGACGCTGCAGCTGCACCATGAACCTGCTTATTCAAAAACATTAACATATAATCTCTATTATAGAAATTATATTCCATCAGTGCAACAAATCACATCATGAGTGCTAGAAATGATTGGAATTTTATAGTTTAAACTGACACATAATGCCTTGACAGCTGTCACCCTTGCTACGCTTTGGTACTGACCCAGCACCGAGCGTCTGCCTTCCGGGCTGTTTAATCCCTGGAGCTGTCAGCAGCGCACTGC